TAAATAAGGGATGCAAAGAACCTAAAATGCATCAGATGGTTTCCCTTTCCAGAGTTCAGAGATGCAAGCTCATGTTGGGCCCCGGACCACGTTTCACCAGTCACCTGCAACTCATTCAAGACTCCAACAAGCTGCACGTGACTGAGGGCAAAAGTGCACAGGGTCCAGAAAGGAAGCAAACTGGACAGCTAAGATTCATCGCAGCCTTGCAGGGAGTGGACTGGGTCCTTCGTGACCAGAAAGCCATGTGTGACCTCTGTGATTATTCTTGAGAAGACAGACTATCTTTGCTCTAACCAAACACCTAACTAGAACCAATTTTAGGAGGCGGGATTTGTTTGGGCTTGTGGTTTAGGAAGGGGTACAGCACAGTCCACTGTGGTGAAGATAGCATGGCGACAGGCGTGTGCAATAGCTGGTCATACCGCAGCTACAGCCGAGAAGCAGAGAGAGAACACTGGCGATCAACTCAATCTCATTTTCATTCAGTCTGGGACCACAAGCCATGGAATAGTACTGCCCATGTTCAGGGTAGGTCTTCCCTGCTCAGTTAAACCTACCTGGAAATGTTCTCATTGTCTCCTCCAGAGATGTGTTTCCATGGTGATTCTAAATCCCATCGATTTGAAAATGAAAATGAACCATCACACTCCAGATGAGTGTGAGGAATGAGGGAAGAAGGGAGGCACTTGCTTTAGGCAAGTGACCACTTCTCAATCAGCTCTCCTGTGTATCTGGCTTGGGGCCTATACAGACACCCTTGGCATGTTGTGCATCTAGGCTATGACTTTTGAGCAATGACTGAAGCTGACAATCAAGATTAAACATCGTTAGGACTTTGTGCTTTGGCTGGGAAAGTGTCGCCTCTCTGGGAACTCTGAATTTAATTGTACAGTGTAGATATTCATAGCTTTCCACTGTCCAAAAATTGGCTTTGGTGGGGACCTCCAGTGACAGAGTTGAACACAATCGTGACTGAGGACATTTCTTATCTCCTTACAGATTTCAGCCAGCAGGGCTAATCTAAGAAGACTCACAGCCATATCCTGCATGAGCTCAAGCCCAGTCTCCATAGCACGAGGTCAGGGTCCCACGACCCAGGAAATACTGTTATGCAATTCCAGTCGTATAGGTGAGGGATCACAGCTTTGACATCAGCCTTGAGGCCAGGGTCAGTGCCCCATCTTTGTGGTCACAGTGGCCAGTGTAAAAACCTAACAGCCTCACATAGATAAATGTGGAGGCCTCTGATGGACCTCCAGTTAGGAACCAGGTGACATCAGTCCTGGTTCCCATCCTCGGTCCTTGAGTCCTTTGAGGGTCCTGCAGAGCAGGCAGAGATCCATCGTATCACAGTTGTTGGGAGTGGAAGGAAGTGAGGTCATCCACTTGCTGAGCTATTCTTATAAACCTAGAGCAATTAAAGTTTCACTGCCCGCTACAGTGGAGCTTCTGTGTTGCCCCTTTGACACTGCAAAGTGCACTTCTCATCCACAAATACGGTAAGTGGGGGAACCTGCCTCTTTCTAAGCTGCACTGGACATGGTGACTTTTAGAGGAGGGTGCAGGGCTTGTGCTCTCTGAGCCTGCTGAGAAGGGGCCCTGTGGGAAGCAGTGGCCTCAGTGGAATCTCCCACAAACTTCCACAAGCCCTGAGGTCCTTAGCTCCGCGGTGCATCCCATCCACACGGGGGTCTGGAGAAAGCAACACCTCCCGCAGCTTTGCCGCCTCTCACACTGTTGGTGGTCACTTGTAGTCCTTTGTCCACTGTGATGAAAAAAACCTTGGCAATCCGACTAAATAAACTCCAACAGGAGCCCCTATGACCAGGCTTCGTCCTGTATAATCTACAGACATTATTCTAGTCCCCTTCTTACTTGGTGTCCAAATCCAAAACAAGCTCACTATTTCACCTGGCAGAGATAGGCCCTGCAACCAGGCCATCTTCTCAGCACAGTGGGCAGAGATTAGATTGAACATATCACCAAGTCCCCTAAACCAAGATATCAGGAGTATAGGATTTTTGACCGTCACTGGGCCACTAAGTCTAGAAGCAATTACATGTACATTTTTAAAGTTATGTTTTAATTGGAAAACAGTTAAAAGTCATCTTTTGGTTGGAAATCCATGCCTACTATTGCTGAAAAGAAAACAATAAACAAGCTCACTTGCCATGAAACAGAACAAAACTAAACCTATCTTGAAAAGCCATGTGATACCACCGTCAGTGCCTCCAAATAATGTATGGGTAAGAATTTTAAGTTATATTTTAAAATAAAGTAAAAATAAATGCTTAGAGGTTATTGCTTACAAAAAAGTAATTAATTAACTAAATATCATGACTGAAATACTTTTAGAAACAAGTTCACCTAGTATCTGCATAATCTGACCATACTATGTTTCCCTGCAACCTCCCAAGAATATCCTTGCTATATAAGTTCTGGAGGAAGTATTTCATTAGAGAGGCAGGCACAGCTAACACCTAGTTACTAGTGAGGCCTTTAAAGCCCCACACTGTGCTGAATCTACAAGGCAGGGCAGAGCATTCCTCTGGACGCACACAGCTTCTTTTTAGTGTTGATGTGTCCAGTTGTTTCATGTGAGTGTGCTCCAGGAACTAACTTCAGTAAGAAACATACCACATAATAGAGATGACGCAGGGATAGAGAATGTCACAGAGAGCAACAACGTAACTTTCAAGAGTCTAATGAAACCTTAGGTAATGCTGCTGCAATCAGAATGTAGCACCACCTTTTCTGAGTCCAGGATTGACAGTGCTCTTGCCCTATCACACTGAAGCATTTTTATACAGTGAGATGGGACAGTGTATACCTTGTCGGTGAGAGAAAGTGAACATGGCCATTGTGATTTGCATAGGAATGGCCCCCATAGGTTCATATACTTGAATGCTTGGTCATTAGGAGGTGTGGCCTTGTTGGAGGAGGTATGTCACTTAGGTGGGCTCTGGGATTTCAAATGCTCAAGCCAGGCCCAGTCTCTCTCTTCCTGCTGCCTGTGGATCATGATGTAGAACTCTCAGCTCCTCCTCCAGCGCATGCCTGCCTGCAAGCTGCTATGACAACAATGAACTAACCTCTGAAATTGTAAGGCAGCCCCAATTAAGTATCTTCCTTTATGAGCCTTACCACAGCCGTGGTGTCTCTTCACGGCAATAGAACATTGACTAAGACGCCGTGTCTTTTGTCTTGAAGGCAGCCCCACTCCAGCATGAATGGATTTCTCCTTCCTCTGATTGTTTCCCCAAAGTCACCATAAATACTGTTCCTGCCACTCCTGGCTTAACCATTGATGCTGTCCACCCTAACCCACACTTCTGAAAAATCCCCAGCCCCATGACCAAGTCCCTCAGAAGCCCTAGCAAGAACCATAGCCTGTAAGTAAAGTTCATCCTGCCTCTCTCACCTTCTCTCTCACCCTGGTAAAAAGCCCCTTCACCCTTCTATTGCTTTTGCAGTTGTCAGCAGTGGATGAATGAGTGACCAAGGAAACAGGCTTTCCTTCAATAAATGAGCACTTTCTTTAGAACATAATCCCTCCTTCTTTGGTTTAGAACACCAATGCAGCTGTGTTCCCACCACGTGTCTTGAGTTGCTTTAGGGAGAAGAGAAATGCCAACTCTTAGATGGCTTCGGGGAGGAGGAAAAGGCATCACTACAGAACTTAGGACAGCAATGCCAACCTGACAGCTAACACCTCCATGTGAGGACTTAAGCCTTCAGACTTGGTTTCCTGACTCCGAGAAGCACAACACAGTGATCTGGATGAAGCAACCAGGCATCATTTTCTGAGGAGGGTGTTTGAGCAATTTCACAACTATCAGTGCAACAGATACCCTCCCCACCTCCACCCCCCCCCACACCCCCCACACACCCCCACCCCCCGGCTACAGAAGCTCTACTGTGTCACAGCCTCTGTTGTCCTCCTCTGCAGCACGACTGGAAATCAGCATTTTAGCTCAACTCTTCCAGGAACTATATTTTGCTACACTGTTTCATAGAAAAGTTCTTCAGTCCTGGCCCCTGAGACACTTAGAATGTTGGAAACACATATAAAATATTTTAAATTATGTCATTTGTAGGGAAAAATATGGAACCAGAGACCACTGTGTTAAGTGAAATAAGCCAAGCTAAGAGAAGAGTGTGTGTGTGTGTCTGTGTGTGTGAGTGTGTGTGTGACTGTGTGTGTGTCTGTGTGTGTATCATGAAAATGGAAGGGAGTATTATACCAGGGAGGGGGTAAGTGGAACAAGAAAGGGCAGTTGGGGAGAAAACAAAAATTGTATGCTTTCTCTCATGTAGAATGAAGATCTAAATATATGCAACATGAAAGTAGAAAGACTATTTGGAGAGAGAAAAGGACAAGGGGAAAGGGAAAGAGGGAGAAAAGAATGGCAGGAGGTGAATGTGAACACAGTAAACTAGCATGTGTGTGAAAGCATAGTGAAGTCCAGTATTTTATACTAAAATACTAATAAAATTAAACCAGATGTCATAATGAAACCCAATACTACCTAAAATATTAATTGAAAATAAAATATTTTTTAAAAAATCAGCCTCCTTCCTAAATGATTTTCCCCATGAATATTTCTACATCGAATCCTGTGACATTTGTTCTCTCTATGCACGACTGGAAACTTACTTAGATGTCTCTATATTTGTTTTTCAGAAAGAATAAAGTTTGGTAATTTTAGTATTGATCTTGAATTAGGGGCTCCTACATTGAGGAAACAAACACGAACACACAAGTTATCCCTTAATTATGATTATGTTTGCAGCTTAGTTGCTCCTGATGGGAGACATATCTCTCCACACATAGACAGGTACAACTATATTTTAACACGCTATGAGTCCTGCCTCCATTACCAGCCTCCAGTGTCAGAAGGGCCAGGCTTTCTTCTAGAAACTCCTAGGATATAAGCTTTCGTGACCCTTTCCTTTCAGAGGTACAACCCCAGGAGTCTACTTTCAAAAGAGCTTACCTGGTAATCTGAGTTCTTGTACTGAAGTCCAGAGACCTCATTGAGCGCAGAACTTCAATGCATCCCAAGTACTGCAAAAAGAGAAGACAGTGCATGAGTCCTGGGAGCCGAAAGCAATAGGAAAAGCACTAATGATGTCAGGAGGTTGGGGAAGCCATACAAATTCTTACATCACGTTGTACCTTTAAATTGAAGGGAAGGGCGCCGGTGAGATGGCTTAGTGGTTAGAGGTGTCTGCCGCCAAGCCTTGTGCCCTGAGTTCAATCCCCGGGGAGCCACGTAGAAGCAGAGACAGCTCCTGCAAGCTGTCCTCTGACCTTCACATGCACACTGCTAAGCTCTTGCTCTCTCTACCTATCTATCTCCCTATCTCTTTTCTCGGAGACAGAGAATAAATAATTTTTAGTATAAAAATGATTTAAATTCTAGGTGCGATGTATTTTTATTAAAACCCTAAACCTAGACTTTTATCTATCAGAAAATATCCCAAGTGCCTAGATTGACAGAACCCTTGACTTTTATAAAACCTGTGAGCATTGCCATTTTCTTTAGAGGTATGTTTTTCAACATTTTTATTAAATAATACCTTATATAGTGTGAGATGTGAAAATCTTAAATGTTTATGTTAAGCATTGCCATTTTCTTTAGAGGTATGTTTTTCAACATTTTTATTAAATAATACCTTATATAGTGTGAGATGTGAAAATCTTAAATGTTTATGTTAATGCTATTAAAGCATTCTTTCAATAATAATGCTTTCCCTCTACCCAAACATCCTATTCCTGGATCTATACAAGACTTCTAAAGGTTCTTAAATAATAATATTTTGGTTTTTTGAGACATGATTTCTCTATGTAGCCTTGACTGTCCTGGAACTCTATAGACCAGGCTGGCCTTGAACTCAAAGATCCACCTGCCTCTGCCTTCTGAGTGCTGGCATTAAAGGCATACACCACCACTTGCCCAGCTAGGGTCTTAAATTTAGAAGAAGAAGGAGGAGGAGGAGGAAGGAGGAGGAGGAGAATTTACCACTATACAACCAACACTTTTACTAATGCTAAACCTCTCTGTCTTAGTTAGGTTTCCATTACTGTGATTAAAACACCATGACCAAGTAGCTTGTGGAGGGAAGGGTTTCCTTCAGCTGACAGTTCTATAGCACAGGCCATCACTGAGGGAGTCGGGGCAGGAACCCAAACAGGACAAGAGCCTGGAGTCAAGAGCTTATGCAGAGGTCATGGGAGAGTGTGCTGTTTATGGCCTTGTTCCTCATGGCTTGTGCAGCCTGTTTTCTTATACACCAAAGGACCACCTGCCCAGGGTTGGGCCCTCACTCATCAATCACTAATTAAGAAAATGCCCTACAGACTTGCCCACAAGCCAATCACATAGAGGCATTTTTTTCACAATTGTGAGTCCCTCTTCCCAAACATCTCGAGCTTGTGTAAAGTTGACATAAAACTAACCAGGACTCCTACATTGTCTAATAGATATATTTTCAGGGTTATGAGTAAGCTACAGAGCACTTCAGTTTAGCAGAAAGCCTTCACTGTTTACCTCACGTCTCCAGAAGCTCAAGGGCACACACTGCAGTGTGGAACTTAGGTCAGTCCCGCTCATAAAGATGTGCAGGTGGACAGTCACGGCAAGGGAGGCAGTGTCTGCTCTAAGCCCTGGGGGGGCTAGAAGACACAGGCGCCTTCAAACTAGACTGCATGAGCCTCGTGAAGTCTCATAATGTGGTGCAAATAGCAGTTTGTTTGCATTGTACAGAAAACCCAAGCCTGGGCCTGGCTTTGCCGTCTATTGTTACGTAACTTTATGTAACACTTGACCCACTTCTCGAAACTGAAAGTCTCTGCACCTACAAACGTGGTTGTTCCTCCCTCCTCGGCACCAAGGTCAATGTCAAGGTGGCGGAATACCGCTAGCCCCATCTGAGCCTTGTGGGTTCTAAGGGCAATGATAGAACTCTATTCTGCTAGACAACCCTGCTGATGGATCATTTGGTCTCCACCACAACCACAACTCTCTGGGCTGGGAGATGGCTCAGTCGTTAGAGTGAAAAAGCCTTCTAAGTATGAGGATCTGGGTTTGGTCCCCTAGATCCATGCACAATAAGCCATAAGCCAAGCATGACAGAATGAAACTTAATCCCAGTTCTGAAAATGCAGAGACACAGGATCCCTGGGCTTGCTGGACAGCCAACACAGCTGAATTTGTGAGCTCCAGGTTCAATGAGAGACCGTCTCTCAAAAACTGGGGTAGAGAGTGACTGAGGAAGACACCCTAAATTAACAACTTTTCTGTACACACATATGTATGTGTACATGTTCCTGCAGACACATGCAGATAAACAAGAGTACGTATACACATATATATGCACACGTCTGCACACCTACTTCCACACACAATCGTAACTCTCACCCATGAGTAAAGCATCCTGAATTCCTAAATTGGCACCACATTTGACTTTCCTAAAACCTATTAGCATCATCATTTTATTTAGATGTACATTTTCCAAAGTACCACAGAATTATATAATTACAGAATCCGATGTTTCTGTGACAAATGGGCCAAATGTCACACGCTGTGTGATGACCACCATTATCAAAGTCAACACATCCCACACTGCATTGCAGAGTTCTGTGGAAAGCATGTCCAGTATCCAAAAGTTAGATGAACACAGTCCACTATCCAGGGCCACTGTGAATGCCAAGTTCACGGATGCCCTGAGACTGGGGGAACATAGTGACCACCATTGTGGTGATGTTAATACCAGGTCTAACACAGAGGAGCTGTGAGAATGTCACAGGAAACCATGCAGCACAGGTACAGAACACTGTCACTTCTGTTACACTGGGAATCCCATCTAGTCCAGACGCTTAGGCAGGGGAGTCACAGGCCTGCCCAGTAGCACAGCCTATGCCTGGCCAGATTGTGTCACAGTGAAAGCCTCCCTCAAAAGAACGGTTGAAAGGGGGCTGGGGGTGTAGCTCACAGACAGAACACCGGCCTAGTATATGTGAGTAAGGCCTAGGCTCAACCTCCAACACCATAAAAAATCAATTTATTAATTAATGAGATAAAATGTTTGGTGATAGAGACAGACCGTGATGTTGGTATTTCCTCAAAGGAGATATGAAGAAACATTCGTTCACAAGTATGTGGTACTAGCATCCTAAGAGCTTGTGGACAGCATCATGTGGAGTGTCAGGGGTGAACACACCCCACTAAGGTCTGGAGCAAGGTGAAGATGTGCACTTTAACCACTGCTGTCCAACAGAGAGGTAGAAGTCTCAGTCAGGGCAACCAGCAAGACAAAGAAATACAACACACTGGGGTTAGAAAGGAGGAAATCAAATTGCCATGTCTGCGTGTGCGTGTGTGCACACCTATTAGAATAACAAATTAAGAATAATTAATATCGATAACAAAATCAGCAAAGCGGCAGGATGCAAAATCAATGTAATAAAATCAGTATCTTTTCTACACGCCAATAACAAATTACCTGAAAAAGAAATCAAGAAAGCAAATACATTTATAAGTTACCAAAAATAAAATTCAAAAAAATGTTAAAGAGATAAAAAAAAATGGCTACACTGAAAAGGATAAAATGCTTACAAAAGAAAGGGAAGAAGATATGGAAAGGCTGAAAGCCAGCCCCTGTCTGTAGACATTTAGAAAACTACTAAATGTCTATTCTGTCCACAGCAATCTTCACTTTCAATGAAGTCCATATGAAACCAGTCACATTTCCACGGAACATCATCCTAAAATTCATAGGAAACTATCAAAATAAATAAACCCAGACAGCAACGTCATCATCAGTGAAAAGAAAACAGCTGTAAACATCACCATATTGGACTATTTCAAAGTATACTACGAGGTTATAGCTGTACTGGCTAGTTTTATGTCCACTTGATACAAGCTAGCGTCATCAGTTAAGAGGGAACCTCAATTAAGAAAGTGCCTTCCCAAGATCAGGCTGTAGGCAAGCTTGCAAGGCATTTTCTTAATTAGTAATGGATGAGGGAAGGTCCATTGTGGGTGGTGCCATCCCTAGGCTGATGGTCCTTGGTTTTATAAAACATAAACAAACAAACAAACAAACAAATAAATTAACAGGCTGAGCAAGCCGCTTGAAGCAAGCCAGTAAGCAGCACACCTCCATGGCCTCTGCTTCAACTCCTGCCTCCAGGTTCCTGCCCTGATTGAGTGCCTGGCCTCACTGCTTTTGATAATAAGCTGCTATATGGAACTGTGAGTGAGGTAAACTCTTTCCTTCTCAAGTCACTTTGGCCATGGTGTTTTGCTACAGCTGCAGGATCATTCAGGCATCATCCATGAGGTCAACCCATCAGAATCAAGGATTCTCTTGGAGGATTAAAACAAGACGTAAGGTGTATTGCAGTTATTGCCTTATGAATGAACTGGCTGTTTCTGACTGCAGATTTCTCCCATAGCTTACTCCCATCTGCTAGAAATTTGGGATATATCTCCCACGGTTCAGCACTATTTGATCATTCATTGGACACGATTTCCCCTATGCATTTGGGATATATTGATAACATCTCCTAGGTATGTGTAAGAACAGTCACACAGTCAAAAAAAAAAAACCTGTTTCCCACAGCCAGGTGCCTTGCTAATTGGATTTTAAGATAAACTATCACCAAAAGAATACAACCTTATTTACTAGGACATGTAGCCAGCTGTAGGATTTGTTGAGCCAAGGTAAACAGTGCAAAGTAACCAAGCTGCAGTAGCAGGGACAATAATTAACTCCACACAGATTCCTAACCTCAGTGTTATGGCCTTTGTTCAGACACCATGGGATAAGTTCTCTGACTGGCTAGGATTACCCACAAAATAAAAACTAACGTTATAGCCCCCACAAAAGGCATTACAAGCTTCTCTTTCTGTGGTAGGGTTACACACTGGACAGGAAAAGATATCTTAAGATTTGAGATGCTTTTAATGTCACTGTGCCTTGGCGCATGCTGTATGGGCTCCTCAGCTCCTCGCGCCCCTGCAGCTCCAGCTGCTGCTGCACTCTCTCTGGGGACACATT